AGTAATAAACAATCTATATTTACAATATTCTATTTAATTTAGTTAGATTGAATGACAGAATAATTACATTTTATTAATCTTCCTCGCTATCCTCGTCGATTACCGGATCAATCTCCGTTTCACAAAATATTTCTGAAAGAAATTTTGCTGGTCTAATAATGTCCGATTTGTACCTAGCATTGCTTAAATAATATATAATAGCAGCAACATGTGAGCAGGATCCAACAGTTCTCAATCCATTAGCACAATCGCATGAGTGACGTAAAATTGCATTGTAGCCAATAGATTCTGGCTTATACTCAATGTAACATTTATAACTTTTTTTGTTGATATGTCTGGATTGTATCAAAACCTTGATAATTTGGTTTCATTCGGATGTATTCTAAATTAATTTCGTTTCTATCGTCTAACAACTCAGCTAGGTAACATACAGCTTGACCTAACTGGTACGTACATGTAAAAAATATTTTGAGGTCTCTCTCTGTCATCTCTGGAAAATCGAGAATTTCTCGCGATGTTATCTTGGTTGTCGTCGTACTTCGTCTAGACCACCTTGCTGTTTTAGCCTCTTTAGCCAATGTGTTATCCACTTTACTGGAATTCAACATTCTCTGTAATATTAATTTTTTTTAATTCTTCATCTTCTTCTTCATCGCTATATAATGTTTTTCCATAACGGTTATTAAGGAAACATGCAATTGTGCAATATGCTCCAGCTTTTGGTAACAATTTATTATCCAATTGCTGATGGAGGAGCTTATATTTTTTTCCAAGAATGCCGTGGACAGCTTCTAGTACCCATCTTAGTTTTGTAACGTAACGAGATTCATTAGCTTCAGCTGTGGATAAACTTGATCTTTTTCCTTTTAATGCGGGCATCAGAACCTTGAAGCCGAGATCTTCTAAATAGGATACGACGTCTCTAAAGCCCCTATCTACAATGCAAACATCACCTTTTTTCATAAGTAACCTTATTCCATTTGGATCTTCCATAACCTTCTTCATGATGCTTGCATCATTTTCTGTAGCCAAGAATGGACCGGGTAGATCTACAACAAATCCGTCTGTTGTGCAGATGGTAAACGGCTTGCACAACGGTTTTTTCTTCTGTCCCGAATATGATTTTCTTTGATACCAGTTATTTCTGCTTTTTTGGTGAGCTAAATAAGTACCATCGAAAATTAATGTGAGCTGATCGTCCGTCAAATTAAATAACTTTATGGCATAAACAGAAGTATGGTTACGGATTAAGTCTTCTCTCACGAGACTTTTTACTCCAAAATATTGTGGCAATACATCTCTCTCGAATGAATTGATTACAGACTCGCAAAAATCAGATACTTTGATCTCATTGTCTATACCAAAAACTGATGAAATAAAATTATTTGATGGTCCAGTTCTTAATTTAAATAAGCATACAACCAAAGCTTGCATAACATCCCTTGAAGTTGAATTTCTCATTGAAACTAATAATTGCTGTAGATCTTCTAATTGATTTTTATTAAAACTTGTAAAAGCGAATAACTGATTTTCACTAAGATCATTTGATTGAACTTTATCTAAAAATGTTGAAGAAGCTGAATTCGATAGTTGTGTGAGAAATAAACATATCTCATCCGTTGTTAAGAAACTGGAGTTACTGTGTATTTGTATCATATGTAAGTCGTCATCAAAAAATTTTTTTTTTATTAAGTGACGAGTTCAAACTCGATTTCCACTAGGAATAAAAATATTTAATTTTTTGAAGCATTGCAGCCTGGCATCAATTGGTACTGAGGTTAAATTATCTTTCATTTTACATACACAACAAAGTATATGTGAAATAAATGTTCTATTTAATGGTAGTTCAACCGTAGGCTTCTTTTCTTTAGGTGGATTAACTACAACCTCAAAAACACTACCAGAACTTTGGGATGAAATGGGTGTATCCGAACTTAACTGGCTCTCACTTGATTGACTGGCTGATGGTTGTAGCTGTTGATCTGTTGATGTTGTCTCTGATCAAAAAAAAAAACATGCCTTCTGCATGAATCGCAAAGCTTGAACCCAACATTAATTTCTAATTGCTCTCGAACAGCCTCGCATTCAGATAGAGTATTGATAATTTTTATGCGAGCAGCGGATTTGTTGATTACTCGAAAACATTTGCAGCATTGAGTATTTGCATTTAAAGTAGCAAGGGCATCCATATTTGAGTTACTAAAAAAAATGACATTGTTTATAACAAATAGAAAAGTAAATAGCTATTGGCTTCAAGTATTTGTTTCTTTACAATTCAAGTATTTGTCCACATTTTTAACATAATTAACATTTTTAAATATAATTTTAACAGTTATTTAATAATTATTATTAATATTTATATTTTCTGACAGTGGCACATGCTAAATAACACATGGTATTGTAGTGTGTATTGTAGAGTAGCGAATAAAAAATGAAAGAGGAATTGTAAGGCGCAAAACGAGAAGGGCCCAGACCGATAAAAAAATACATTCTATACAAAAACTCATATGACCCATATTGGAAAATCTTAAAGCTCAAACAGTTTTGAAATACAATTTATACAGCTATACAGAAAATCTTTTAATAATTATGCTATCATTAGGTTTATCAAGAAATACTCACTAAGATCTTTTTGTTGATTGCTAATAATTTGAATACATAGAAAAAAATTAATAAATATTACAAAAATAAATTACTATTAAATAAATAACCAACCTAACCAATAGTAACCAAAACAATATGTCTAGCAGAGTTCATTTAAACTCAACTCCGAGTTTAACATAAAGACTTCAGTAAAAGAAAGTGATAATATAGACCCAGTTAAGTTCACAATCTAACAAAACGTATCAATAACAAAATTCATTTGTTAGTTGCCTAATAGGTTATAATAAACTTGAAAAATTGGGACAAATAAAATAAACTGGCAACCTTACTCAACAAGACCTTTTTTAACCTTGGACCTAGCTGAAAACGCGCTTTACCGGAGGTATCTACTACCACAGTAAATATTTTTGCACAAAATTTTAATATTTTAATTAACACGAAAAAATCAATATAAATCAAATTCTGAACCGAGCACTTGAACAGATACAAGATCTAGATACTTATCAGTTCTCAAGTAATACACAGTGAAACTATACATATATAAGTTCTATGTACAAGGAAGTATATTATAAAACAATTAAAAAAATAATGTAATGTAAAATATTACAAAATAATATTATAAGATAGCTTACAAGCCCAAGTAAAATATCTCTAAAGCGAAGCATAAAGCAAAGAAATATTTTAAAGTATAATAACAATAGTAACCATTTATATTTTATAATACAAAAAATTCAAAACTAAAATGTTTTCTTTAAATGAAATTATTACACTTTTTTACTCCAAACCCGAACATTCCTTTGAACCCCACTACTTTGAAAAAAGTTTTAGAATGAATTAATTTTCGGTAAGTACAATTTTAATACCAACTAACTAATCTTAAATCTCATATAAATAATAATAAACTGGCTGAAAAACTTCTGTCAATGTCCTTTTGGTATATAGTATCAATAAAGTATTATTCTCTCTCTAATAATAAACCTTTTATCTGTACTGATTTATTCTTGTTTTAGGTTTAAGAAAAGATGTCGAAATAGGGTTTTAAAAGAAAAAAATGAAATTATACCATGGAGGCGACGATACTTGCGATCCATAACACAATTTATGCAGGAAGACCGTACTATTTATTATTTAGGTGAAACTTGAGTGAACGCTGGTCATACTGTTGACAGAGTCTGGGCTGACATGTCAATCAGCAGTGTTCGACAAGCATATGTTAAAGGCCTTTATAGAGGATTGACTACCGATTCTAGATATCAACTACCGTGCGGTGCGGGCCAACTATAAACGCCATGTTTTCTGTTACAATCAGGCTCCCTGGATATGCGGGATGTAGTGCTAAGACATGAAGCCAAAACAGTTAAGTAAATATAAAAAAAGAATAATGATATAAGCATGGGCATAACGCTCTTGTATCTAAGCGGAAGAGTAAGGCATGGACGAGCATGGTACGAGCTTATGAATGTATATAACAAGGATATAACAAGAAAGATACATGTGAAAATGTAAATTACCTTTCATTTAGACACTGAATTTAGAGGTTATATAGCGAAAGCTTAAAAACAACGCTAAAAAAACGGGGTTTTTTGTTTTTTTTTAGCCTGCTGTGGGAAAAAATATTAGTTTTAATAGCTTATTTTGATTGTAAAGCTAAAAATACATATAAAAATATGAATTAATATTAATTTAGGTGTATGTTGCTAAGGTTATGAGTCAAAAACTTCAGAAAAATGCCAAAAAAGCAGTTTTTTCAATTTTTAGGCCTTTTCCACGTTGAAAATGATATTAATACTTATGCCATTCGAAAGAACGGAAAAAAACCAATAAAAAACACTATTTTAAAGTTGGCCAAAAATTTTTGACATAACCTAAAATATCACTGAAAATTTCAAATATTTTTCCTGGGCTCAATTTTTAAGCTAAAAAATTGAAAAAAATCAGGCAGTTTTGTATTATTTAAATAAGCCTTCATAAATTTTTTCAAATTTTTTGCAGCAATACAGCGTCTAAAAATTTTTTTTTTATACGTTTTTGCCCATAGCGAATCCCCAGAGGCACCTAGGGACTTGAAAATTTAACTGAGTGAGTTTTTAATTATGTCCTTTCGAATGGCCAGACCCAAAACTGAATCGAGCATGGTGCAATTTTGACCATCTTATCCCGCTATAGCCTTTACTCATAGCTCATACAGAAACAACACATCATAACAATTTATATATATATATATATATATATATATATACATATATATATATATATATATATATATATATATATATATATATATATATATATACATATATTGTTTGTTCAATATAATACAAACATTTCTTCATTCTGAAATTTCTGTATTAATTTTGTCTTGTAATAAAAGTTTTTATTCTTGGATTCTATTTTAGATTATTCAGAGGAGGAGCACAGAACCAAAATTATGGAAACACCGTCTCAAAAAGAAGAATTGATAAGCCGATACTCAATAACTGAAGAGAAAACATTAAACAAAATTATGAAAATTCAGAATACACAAGGATCTTACCAATGTAAATCGAGAGGTTTTAAAACACATTTGAAAGTTCGCACCGGAGAAAGATCTTATAAATGTGAAATTTGTCTTAAGCAGTTTCTCTACAAATCTGTTTTAATTGAACATATGAAAGTTCATACTGGCGAAAGACCTTATAAATGTGAAATTTGTCTTAAACAGTTTACTAAAAAAATATATTTAAAGATACATATGAAAGTTCACACTGGAGAAAGACCTTATAAGTGTGAAATTTGTGGTAAGCGGTTTTCCTACAAATCTGTTTTAAAGGAACATATGAAAATTCATACTGGAGACAGACCTTACAAATGTGATATTTGTCTTAAGCAGTTTACTCAAAAATATAATTTAAATGAACATATAAAAGTTCACACTGAAGAAAGACCTTATAAATGTGAAATTTGTCTTAAGCTGTTTTCCGATAAATCTGTTTTAATTGAACATACGAAAGTTCATACTGGGGAAAGAAATTATAAATGTGAAATTTGTCTTAAGCAGTTTACTAAAAAAACATATTTACATACACATATGAAAGTACACACTGGAGAAAGACCTTATAAATGTGAAATTTGTCTTAAACAATTTACTCAAAAAAGTAATTTAAATGACCATACGAAGGTTCACACTGGAGAAAGACCTAATAAATGTGAAATTTGTCTTAAGCAGTTTACTCAAAAAAGTCAATTAAATAGACATATGAAAATACACTCTGGAGAAAAAAGACTTATAAATGTTCACTTTTATAAATGTGAAATTTGTCTTAAGCAGTTTTCCCAAAAATCTGTTTTAAATGATCATATGGAAGTTCATACTGGAGAAAGACGTTATCAATGTGATATTTGTCTTAAGCAGTTTACTCAAAAATTTAAATTAAATGAACATATAAAAGTTCACACTGTGGAAAGACCTTATAAATGTAAAATTTGTCTTACGCAATTTTCCGACAAATCTGATTTAATTGAACATATAAAAGTTCATGCTGGGGAAAAACCTTATAAATGTGAAATTTGTCTTAAACAGTTTACTAAAAAAGCATATTTAAATATACATATGAAAGTTCACACTGGAGAAAGACCTTATAAATGTGAAATTTGTTCTAAGCAATTTATTCAAAAAAGTAAATTAAATAGACATATGAAAGTACACACTGGAGAAAAAAGGCAACTTTATAAATGTGATATTTGCCATAAAAACTTTTCCTACAAGTTTAATTTAAAGCAACATATGAAAGTTCATACTGCGGAAAGTTCTTATGAATGTGAAATCTGTCTTAAGCACTTTGTCTCCAAATCTAATTTAAAGAATCATATGAAAGTTCATACTGGGGAAAGACCTTATAAATGTGAAATTTGTCTTAAGCAGTTTACTCAAAAATGTCATTTAAATGGACATATGAATGTTCATAGTGGAGAAAAACCTTATAAATGTGAAATTTGTATTAAGCAGTTTTCCTACAAATCATATCAAGTACATATAAAAAGTCATACTAGGGAAAGACCATATAAATGTGAAATTTGTCTTAAGCAGTTTTCCTACAAATCTGTTTTAAATGATCATATGAAAGTTCATACTGGGGAAAGACCTTATAAATGTGAAATTTGTCTAAAGCAGTTTACTAAAAAATATAATTTAAATAAACATATAAAAGTTCACACTGGGGAAAGATCTTATAAATTAAGCAGTTTTCTTACAGATCATATAAAAGACATATAAAAGTTCATACTGGGGAAAGTCTTCATGAATGTGAAATTTGTCTTACGCAGTTTTCCTACGAATCTGTTATAAAAGAGCATATGAAAGTTCATACTGGAGAAAGACCTTATAAATGTGATATTTGTCATAAAAACTTTTCCTACAAGTTTAATTTAAAGCAACATATGAAAGTTCATACTGCGGAAAGTTCTTATGAATGTGAAATCTGTCTTAAGCACTTTGTCTCCAAATCTAATTTAAAGAATCATATGAAAGTTCATACTGGGGAAAGACCTTATAAATGTGAAATTTGTCTTAAGCAGTTTACTCAAAAAGTCATTTAAATGGACATATGAATGTTCATAGTGGAGAAAAACCTTATAAATGTGAAATTTGTATTAAGCAGTTTTCCTACAAATCATATCAAGTACATATAAAAAGTCATACTAGGGAAAGACCATATAAATGTGAAATTTGTCTTAAGCAGTTTTCCTAGAAATCTGTTTTAAATGATCATATGAAAGTTCATACTGGGGAAAGACCTTATAAATGTGAAATTTGTCTAAAGCAGTTCACTAAAAAATATAATTTAAATAAACATAAAAGTTCACACTGGGGAAAGGCCTTATAAATTAAGCAGTTTTCCTACAGATCATATAAAAGACATATAAAAGTTCATACTGGGGAAAGTCTTCATGAATGTGAAATTTGTCTTACGCAGTTTTCCTACGAATCTGTTTTAAAAGAGCATATGGAAGTTCATACTGGAGAAAGACCTTATAAATGTGATATTTGTGCTAAGCAATTTACTCAAAAAAGTCAATTAAATAGACATATGAAAGTTCACACTGGAGAAAAAGGACTTAGATAGATGTTGACAGTTCGTTGGATATTGTTAGTACTTAAGATCCAATGTAATAAACTGTTTTATAATATCCGTGAACATATCTTTTGGTTAGCAACATTAGCTAAATACTGTTCTATCTAGATGCGATACAGATCAAGCTATTGAGGAAATTTTTTATGTATTTTTTTTTGTGAAGTCCTCTTTTTTGAAAGGTCTTTTTTTAGAGAACTCTCCAAGTTTTTTTTTTAACTTTTAAAGAAGAACATTTTGTAATGTCACCAATGCAATCTCTCCTTAATAGTGGTACTTTATAAATTTGACCATAGCTCTGAGGACGGATTTGTAAGCCTAAAGCACTCAGCTTGGAATTAAATATTTTACACACTTTAAAAATACTTTTCTTTTCCATTCATTCATTTGTCATAAGTGTATACAAAAACATAGCAGACTTTTTCAATTATTATTATTCTGTTTAATTTAGGTCTTGATTCAAGTACGTATGTTTGTTATGATGCGCGTCCTTCTAAAATTAAATTACTTATTATAAAATTATACACCTAGTCAGTGAATAATAATAAAAACTGTTAGTTTCTTCTCATAAATCTTCTTGCATACTATTTACATTTTATGAATACAATGGCATTGCCAACAACTTGTTAAAAACCCAGAATATTCAATCATAATTAAAGATTTTTTTAGTATAAAGTGAGATTATAAAATTATTTCAAATTATTGTTCAACGCGAATACTTCTGAGAATTCTGCTTTTCAAAATTTCTTGGAGCACTTTCTTAATTTCTGTATTTAATCACAGAATGTATTATTTTTATAGTTGTGATTTTACGAATTATATTAGTTAGACAATTTGCATAGGAGTATACTATGTACACTTCATCTAATTTACATACCGATGCACGTCATCGGCGTCATAGCCCGTGACGTCACATCATACCAACACGAATATTTTGGCGATAGGTGTGTTCTTTTTTAGAATCACTTTGCCGGGTACACTGGCATTACAGCCACTAGACATATTTTATTACATACGCGTAGAAATAATGTTTAAAAATTTCTATTAATGTTAACTTAAAGAAATACACAATAATATGTTTCATTTAATTTGTATAAATGCATTATAAAGCGTTTTTATGAAGAACATTTGTTCGGAACACACTGTAACTGTAATCGAACGAAGATGAAATTTTGGCATAAATTAGTAACACTTATTTGACAGTTGCGGTGTTTACACTTTTTGTACTTTATTATTTTTAATTTTAAAGTGAATACCTCTTGTTTTATATTTTTACCTATTTAATAAAATCTGTTCTTTTTAGAACAAAATTAGTGTGTTTTATTTCAAAAATGTCACGTAAGATTTTAAATAGTCGTTGTAAAGAGATGGTAATACTTTTGCAATAATTATGTGATCTATTTGATTTAAAATGGAGTCAGGATTTTTTTATACTTTGGCAACTATGTCAACTTCGATCTCTGACGTAGATAATGACGTGCATCGGTATGTAAATTAGATGAAGTATATATTGTTTTATCTTTATTGTGATGTATACCAATGTACATATAAAAATAAACTACTGTACATAAAGCGGCTCTTTATTTTTGATGTTTGTTTTTGTGTATCATGTTAATTATAATGGTTTGCGGTTGAAACAATAACTTCAGATAGACATGTAACATATACTTGTAAAAAATTAACATACGGTTGTTGCAAGATTTCATTTGTATAATTAATATGACATATGCCATTCGAACTCCGCCTCTAACAAGTGCTGGGTGGATTGAGTAGCTCAGTAACTACAAGTTCCGGTTCCAATTCCCAATAAAGGAAGATGCTTGGGCGACAGGCTAGTAACCTATCCCCGGAAAAAACCGTTACTATGAAACTCGAAAACAAACCTCAGAATGGACGAATATTAAGGCTGTTTTATCGGTGCACCAAAACCTAGGAACTGTTATTTACCGACAAAATGTCTCGAAATTTGAACACAATATTCGAAACTATGTTGCTTTTAAAATGATGGTTTTACTTTTTTATTTTTTTGTTACTTCTGTTGAAAAATTAGATTATCCTGTTTAACGTTCTATTATAACCAAACTTTTTACGCCCATCACTTGAAAGAGTTTTTTTTCTGTAATCGTTGATTTCTTTTTTCACCTTTCTGTGTCCAGTAATAATCGAGAAAACCGTGTTCAAACTTTGAAGAAAATTGCTAAAAAATACTAAAATCTAATAGTGTAACGTCTTACTCATCATTGTCGCTTAGGTTTACCGTTATCGTCTTCGTGACGTCAAATCTCATAAGCGTACGGTCAGTTAGTTCGTGTTAAAACTAATTTGAATGGAGAGTAATGCATTTGTTGCCCGTTGGCCGACGCCACTGAGTAAAGATAGTCTCGCGTAAGCAGTGTAGAAATGTAAGTGATACGCCCATTTCAAATCGCAGTGTGCTTGAACCACAGTATAAAGAGGTTCTAGAGGTGGAACCTCTTTATACTGTGCTTGAACTGCTAAAACAGCCTTAAGGCAACGCTGTTGGCAACGCAACATGGATTTCCCTTTTGAGACTTAGAACGTTAGAACTGCTCAGTGAATTAAAAAGATACAAGTTTGGTTTGGCAGCAATTCAGGAAACAAGATATCTAGGGAAGGGTATCCGGGATACAAAAACACACCATCCTGTTAAGTGGTTTAGTTACAGGAAATAAGGAATTTGGGGTGGCATTTGTAGTCGATAATAAACTGAAACACCTCGTAACTGATTTTCAAGCTGTTAATGAACCAATTTGTAGGATACGAATAATGAGTAACTTCTTCAACTTATCCATAATGATCGTTCACTGCACAATGAATAAACAAGATGAGGACACCAAAGTAGCTTTTTATCAATTACTAGAGCAAACATATGACCTAACACTAAAAAAAGCAAGATTTGAAGGCGACACAAACGCAAAGTTAGGAATTGAAAAAAGAATACATCGGAATAATTGAGGGACATAGCCTACATCGAGACACGAATGAAAACCGCCAATATGTTATTGGCTTTGCAACTGGTCAAAATATGATTATCAGTTCTACCATATTTCCCCGCATATCACTTGGAAGAGATGTTGTGAATCGAATAGACTACATCTTAATAAAAAAGTAAAAAATAAAAAAAAAAACACCTACTAGTTCAGGTACATTTCAGATATATAAGATCAATCGACATGCGAAAGAAAGGAAGTTCTAGATCTGGGCAAACTAAAAAGACCCGAAACTTAAAAGAAATTTGAAGAAGAAATAAAGAGGAAGTTGACTAAATAAGACCAGTGAAACCTAATATTTTTGTCCAGACGAATTAGAGAAAGAATAATGGTAGTTGGAAACAAAAGAGGAATAGCTAATAAAATGTGTAGACAAAAAAAAAACACAAAAACAAGTAACTAAGGAACATGGAAATAAACCTTAGAGAAGTCAAAACACGAAATGCATATACATATTAATCAAACCAATAAAACAAGGATATAAATCAAAAAGTAATTTGTACAGAAATAGAAATGGCGAAATAACCGGCAACCCTACTCACCGACTGGTTAAGTCGTTTAACCCTATAAATAGGAATGTTAGATTTTTAAGATTTAAATATATAAGTAATGGCGTTTCTAATTCAGTAGGAAGTAGGTAGATAGGAGAATAGATATTTGTACGATAATATATAAGATAACAATAAAATAGTTCTCATAAACGATTATTGGTAATATCCCAAGAATAGCAATTTTTGAATATTTAGAATATAAGGTTTAAGTCTTGTTTATAGAAAAATTGGACAAAGAATTAGAAAGTTTCGTGGTCAGGGATAAGTATAAAATACCCGAAGTAGTATTAGCTGGATTGTGTCTAGAAACTTGGAAACAAAGAAAAGATCTTATTTATGTAAAATTTGGAAATATCAAGGTTATGTGCACGATACACTTACAACGGTATGCCGACGCGCATCTTCAGTGACGTCACATCGACGTCAATCCTACGTTATTTGATGTTGGTTAGGTTGAGTGTTTTTATTTTTAATTTATCCCATTGTGTATTTACTAGTTTACAATTTTTAAATTGAATACAGTTGTAAATGAAACGGCGATATTGAGATACAAAAATACACGTCATCTAATTTATATAACGATTCACGTCATCGGCGTCATAGCCTGTGGCGTCACATGATACCAACACAAAATATTTAGGGTGTAGGTGTGTTCTTTTTTAGAACCACTTTACCGAGTACACTGATATTACAGCCACTAGACATATTTTATTATATACGCGTAGAAATCATATTTAAAAATTTCTATTAATGTTAACTTGAAGAAATACACAATAATATGTTTCACTTAATTTGTATAAATGCATTATAAAGCGTTTTTATCAAGAACCTTTGTTCGGAAGACACTGTAACTGTAATCGAACGAAGGTAAAATTTTGGCATAAATTGGTAACACTTATTTGACAATTGCGGTGTTGACACTTTTTGTACTTCATTATTTTGAATTTTAAAGTGAATATCTCTTGTTTTATATTTTTAACTATCTAATAAAATCTGTTCTTTTTAGAACAAAATTAGTGTGTTTTATTTCAAAAAAATGTCACGTAAGAATTTAAATAGTCGTTGTAAAGAGATGGTAATACTTTTGCAATAATTATGTAATCTATTTGATTTAAAATGGAGTCAGGATTTTTTTATACTTTGGCAACTATGTCAACTTCGATCTCTGACGTAGATAATGACGTAAGTCGTGATCTAAATTAGATGAAGTATACTTTTGTAAGAATTTATTGAAATGAAATTAATAAAAAAAACTTCCATGTGATTGGAATTTAAGAATATTTATTTCAATATAGAATAATATTTTAATATTTCGTAGGATTTATTTTTTTACGGTTTGTAAATTTTAACATTTATAAGTATGTCCAGTTTTCGGTTACAATTTTCAAAACTAATTTGCTTATTAATTTCTCGTAATCTTATGTAGCTTTTGGTACGACTAAGGCAATAAATAACTTCAAAAGGTATATTTACTTTATTACCAATCTTGTCAACAGTACGGTCAGCTATCAATGAAAATATTTTTTTCTCTTTAGAAAGAGACGTTCCATGCTTTAAATTGAACTCTGTTTCCAGTACTTCTGCAGTTTTCATAGGAGCGATTAATTACAGGGACCCGATCCGTCAACTGCGCATGTGCAATCTTTAAAATAACATCAAAAGTCATGTCAAAAGTGACAACGAGGGACAATCTCCAACCTAAAAAAATCTGAGCAAGTTTATAAAAACGATTAGGAATAAAAATAGGAAATTTTAAATTTTACAATATTTCTTTTTACAGGTACATAGTTGTTACATTCATAACTAAAATATAGAGAATAAATAACTTGTACTCTGAGTAATAAGAAAGAAAATCACATTAACCTAATGTATATTGACGACTTTTATATTAACCTTCCAAGATTGGTTATTTTGTTGTAGTAGCTTATGGAAATTGTTAACTTTGCACCAGATAGTTTAAAATATTTAACGTAATACATGTTTATGAGTGAAGATAAGGATTATAATAAATTATTATATAAGCATTATTATAAACTTAAATTTATTTATTGTCGTTGAAAGTAAACAAAGTATTAATGAACTAAATTTAAATGAAATATTACGGTTAATGGGTTAATCTTGTATGGGTTGGCAAAATTGTTGTCTTCAGGTGGATGTTTTCAAAAGTTGTCTCGTTCTAAAACGTGTTTAAAATAGTTTAATTCTTCAATACTCTTCCATAAAAAACTGAAGTAATGGCGGACATAAAACAGAGTGTTTTTATTTTTCCAACTTTCATAATTTCTGTAAAATAAACTTCATTAATGTAGAAGTCCTTTCGGCTTGAAAAAAAAAGCTACTGGAAATCTTTCAGACACTTGTTTAAATGCACACTTTCTCCACATTGCATCGGCGTAGAAAGCTTAGACTGATTTGAGAAAATTTTACCACATTCAAAACAGTTCACTGATATATTTACTAATTATGTAAATAGGGAACTATTCAAAACAATTTCTATTTGACAATGCAAGATACCTACCACTTAAAATTTTCATTTAAAGGTTCGAAATATTTCGAATGCAGTCGTTTCGCACATGCGCAGTTGACGGATCGGGTCCCTGTAATTAATCGCTCCTGTTTTCATTAAATCATCACTCGGATTTAAAAGGCCACCTCTTGAAATACAAGTTAACCATTCGTTGGACTTGTTTGTTGTGACCAATTCGCAGGTAGAGTCTAAGTATTTATATTTATTTTTAAACTTATAAGCAACATATCCTGCAATCTATTTTAGGGCTTCTTTATTAACAATTTCTTTGCATTCAAACTGATGTAGCAACTGTAAATGTTCGCTGTTGGACCTGGTTTCTAATACATTTATTTCGGGATAGAAAGGCTCGATGAAAGATTATAAAGTGCTAATTTCTTCGTCAAAAAAATTAGAGTCAGTAGGTGTAAGTATTGATACATTCTTGAACATCTTTCCTGTCAAACAGTTATTTTCATCTACAATTTGTAATTGGTCATG